ATTTTGTGTTTACAGTACCTGCAATTTAAAATTATAGCCTTTTACTTCAATATTTTGACTTAAACAGTGATTTTTTTTTTTTGCTTCAACAGCATAGTTCTGCAGTTCAACTAGTTCAGTACCAGAAAAACTAGCTCAGTAACCTCTCAGTTACACTTGATATTTTTAACATGGAAAAATTCTGTGCAATCCCCATGTCACTTCAGAGCTGCATCCTGCAAAAAACTACACCTTCTTCTGCTATCCAGGTTACATCCCCTCCTCCTCTACCAAGGCTCATCAGGCGGGAGAAGAGGAATCCCACAGAAACTTCCTCAGTTTGCCTCCTGCCACCCTTCCCTCCCAGCGCTGTCTTTCTGCTCTTCTCCTTTTGTAAAGTAGATGAATTCTGCACATCCTGCAAAGGCAGCAGGAACAAAGATGCACTTCCCAAGGTCTACAGTGGGGAATCTCAATGGGAAAGGAGGATATATAGGAGATCCCTAACATACTGCATGCACGGATATGAGTACCAGACACAGGTATTTTGTGCCCAAATCTCAAGAGAGAGGTTTGCCTCTTTTGCCACACCCTAACTTGCACATGAGGGACAGTTTATTTCCCAAATTCCAGAGTCGGCTTCTTTGGGCAATGTGACTACAAACTGCCCTGCTTTTGTTCTCTGTGTCAGTCAGCCCCTCCCCCCCCACTCCCTTTCGATATGCTGGGGGGGTGGGGGCGGGGGGGAATCAATAGAATTTTCACACACAGTAAAAAACCCGAAATTTTCTTCTGCCAGTGCAGCACACCGATGAACTGGCAAAAGCTCTACCTTTATGCTGGAGGAAAGGAACGGACATGAGCACAGACGTGGGGTGAATGCAGCTGCAGCAGCCAGCTGTTGTAGCATCTTCAGCTGCCACAGAGGAGCAGCTAACTGCAACCGGCTATCACTGACTGTTAGGTGACACTCTGCCTCAGTTCACCCGTACCCATCACAGCACCCTCCCTCGCTCCTTCCCCTGCAGAGCAGCTGTACCTGCAGCCAGAAGGCAGCACATTCCAAAACTGGAACCCTGCACACAGCCACTGCCATGGAAACCAGCTTTCCTAGCAAAGCCATCCTGCTGTCATCTGCTTTGTTTCCTTGAGGGCTGAACAGAGATGAGAAAATGATCTGCCGGACTGAATCCTTGGTCTGCTCTTGGAAATAATTGCACATGATCTCAAGGAGCTGAAGTTCCTGAAGTGAATTCAACCTCTGAAAGAAAACAAAGGCAAAGCTGCAAAATATACCAGGGCTCTTGAAGACTCGAGAGAGCTGCTTTGGTGGAAGATAGGAACAGTAAAGGCTGAGAGCTTCCCCCAGGTGTTAGAAACTCGAGCTTTATGTGCAGCACACACATCCAAGCTTCCCAAACCACCGCTGCATTTACCCACTTGCACAGAAAAGCTCTAGGTTGTATTTGAATGCTTGGATACCCAAGGCTGGTGCTTGCCATACCACCCACGAACCGAGAGATCAGAGCGACAGCAATACCACGGTGAAAAATATTTCTTCCCTCTCCGAATAACAGCACTAAGGGCACCACCGGCGGCCTAGGGGGGTGTCACGGCTAGGCCCAGCAGGCCGCAGGCCCACACACCCCGGTTCCGCAGCAGCTGTGGCTTTTGGGCGCTGCTCCCGGGGAGTCCCCCCCGCAGCTCCA